TTAGCCTTAAAAGTTGAAAGAGTGTCTATCTCACGGACTAAAACTGCTAGTTGTTTCCATAGGAGAGGAGCCTAATAACTAATTGCTCTGCCTCCCATTCTACTTTTAGACAATCTACAAACTGCAATAACCATGCAGATTGAGAGCATAGTGCCCTGTTACGAACCTAAAGAACAATCACATTGCTGATGTAAGATGGAGTTTGCTTATTTAGGTCTTTACATGTAGGAATGAGATTTTTGAATTCAATTCTGGATTTAAGAAAATGCCAATAAATGAAAGGGGAAAAATTATCTTTTTCCTTTTCGTCTGGCTGCAGCATTTTAGATTAGCTAAAGGCATTCAACTACATTCAGTCGACTTCCTGATAATAAAGAATTTCAGTAGTTAACCTTAAAGTTAAAAATGCATGAATTAGTTTGAAATTTTTCAGATATTCCAGAGAGAAAATCTATAAACCTGTTTAATATGGGATTTGAATAAAAAAACAACAACAACAAAAAAAAACCAAGATATTTTACATTGTTAACAGAGGCCAATTTCATGTCATTCACATGAAGTGACTGACTAACCAGTTTCTTTTTCAACAACAATAACTTCTGTTTTGTCCAGATTCAAAAGCAGAAAATGTAAAGTCATCCAGTTTTTTTGTCCTTGGTTGCCTGCAATCTATGTAATCAGTTAGTTTCATCAGGATTACAAATAAACCTGAGTATCATCAGCATAACAGTGGAAATGAATCCCATGCTTTATGAGATTATTTCCAATTGGAAGCAAATCTATAGTACAAATATTTTGTGCTATGACTAATATGGTATCTTTTTGTGTGCTTCATGATAATGTTGGTGAACCCATCCTCAAACAATATCACTAATGCGTATATAAACTAATTTTGCAGGTGCTTATTAACATGTTCTAACAAATCAATTCAACTATTTTTTAATGTGAGAACATGAGTTTAAAGACTTTGAAAAGCAAACAAATATCAGATCTTTAAGAATATCAAAAATATTTGTATGTCAAATTAAAAAATATGCAACAATCCATGAAAGAGACCTATAGCTATTAGTTTTCAAAGGCAACCCAAAGACCATGAGTTTTCTCCACCTGTATGGTATAAAGTATACAGGAATGGTTAGCAGTCAGGCCCCAATAATGTAAATTTTAATAACTTAAATTAAATGAGGTACAGGCCCTTTTTTTTATGGAATTTAACAATGCATTTAACCCATCTAACCTATAATATGATGGATGTATGTTTAGGTAGGATGATCTCTTAAAAGATTAGCTATGGAAGTAAGAAATACCCATTGAAAGAGTTATATCTACATTGGCCTATTTCATATTTTACATTTGAATATAAAATGAATAATAAAACAATAAATCACAATTATTTTTGAGTTGAGTGTCCGTAATAAACATCCATGACATTAATGGAATAGATGTCATAAAGTGAAGGGGATTGATTATGAGAAGTAAGGTGTTAAGAGAGACACATTAGAAAACAGATGATCCCCTATCTGCTTTTGACCACGAGAAAGAACCATATCGGCATTTATCACCATTTTTTCTGTTTACATGTCTATTCCTTAATGAAATATCCAATACCGGAAGCATAGTCAGACATTATATACCGTATGTCCTAAGTTATTTCATTTCTAAAGTGATTTTTTTTTTCATTGTGTTTTGGTTGCTCAAAAAATCAGAGTCTGAAAGTTTAAGAAAGAACAGAGAGAACTAGCAAAAAATAACAGATAAAAAAAAGATAGCAGAAAATGACAAAATGCAACTATAGGAGGTGTAAAATAGTAAAAAGTATATACATATAATACTTTAGAATATCTGTCAGGAACATTGGCATCATTTTCAGTAGCATTTCATTTTTATATAGGGGGTGCCTGGGGGTGGGGGTCTTCTATATTCTATATATAGAGGAGGTAAGTGAGACACTTTGCCAATGGAACAAGACAATTTACACTTGTTTTCTCATTTCAAGTACATAAAATCATTTCAAGTACATAAAATCAAGTACATAAATTATCTTATATTAATTGCAAAAGATACTCATTCCATTGGGAATCACCTTATTTACCTACTTGAATCAAGAGTAAACAAACTTGCTTTTTACTTATTTCTAGATCCTTTTTGCAGTGTGGTTGAAGTTTGTCCATGCCAACACTTACTTGTCATTTTATAAAAAGAAGGAGGTTTGATCTACTCCTATTTCATCATTCTGCTTTATTCTATCTCTATCCTCCCACTCTGCAGAATCTGTTAGTTCAATCTCTAACATTCTGCTCTTTCTGCTTTTTCTTATAGTAGCTTCATCTGGTCTGTTCCTGTTTGGCTGTGACACTATCCTAGAGAGAAATATCAGCTGTGCTGCTGCCATCAACACCTTTATTTATAGATGTTGGAAATTGGCCTGTTTTTTCAGTGTAGTCCTGTTTCTCTGACTGTGACTGACTGGATGTGCTCTCTCCATCCTCTGACATGGGAGCTGGCTCGGAGCTCACCTGCCTGGCTGTGTGTTTACTGGACAGGGCCGCCTTTTCCAGCTTCCAGCCTCGGCAGATGGCCTGGTTCTGTAAAAAAATTGATTTAATCGATTTTGGATTGATTCCTTTACATTTTTGCAAAATCGATTTGTAGGGAATGAGATTGATTAGTTTTATAGTGTATACGCGTATGACATTCACATTCAAATGAGCAAGCGTGTGCAAATGCCGACCCAAATAATACACCGCTTAGCAAGCTGTCCCAACTGAAGTCTGATGTCTGGCACCATTTTGGATTTAAAACAGCTGAAGATAATGTGCTGGATATGTGAAATTAAGGTGACTTCCCATTACATCAAGGGCGTACAGTAGGTTTGATCTCAACTTTGGTAGGGACACTATTGGTCTTAAGTTGAATTAGTCTGATGTCATTAGTCCTATGCATTATGCATGCTCCTATTTTTTTTATGCTTGACGTTAGCATCAGGGCGCATTTAGTGTAAAGAGAAAACAGAATTTTTTTTCTACATTTATACACATTTTATAAGGACTACAAACAAGATGCTGTTTATCAATGTTTGAAGCATCAGTGGCTTGGAATAATGTAAAATTGGGACAACCTTAAACTTTGAAAAGGGTTACATTTGACTTACAAGTGACTAAGACGGAAGGTAAATACGTGCCTTTTTAACCAAATATAGTATAAATATGTCTTTTGTATGTGTATTTATCAAGTATTTTCTATAGTTAATATGCAGAGGTAAACAGAGGTAAAACCCACTTTTATATTTTTTAAATCTGATATGCTGATATTCTCTGCATTGTAAAACAAAGCAAAATGACATATTCAAGGGACTGCAAATAGAGTTATTGTATTTACATGGGCGTGGTGTGGGAACTATAAGAGGAACTGGCACTGAGCATTTAAAATATTAACTTCAATATACAAGTTGTGAGAAAAGAAGCGACTGCTGCAACAACGCTGTATTGTAAATTATAAACATGTTATTCACATTGAATTATTGGTAGGGACAAGTACCGGTAGGTCGAGCCACTATTTTGGTAGGGACATGTCCCTATGGTCCCTATGCAAACCTACGCCCATGCATTACATTGATAATAAGTGGCGCCTCGGATCTCGTGCTACAGACCATCAAGAATACTTCAAGCCAGACAGCTGTAAATATAGCCAATAGGTCAACTGAAGACATCAACAAATGGGGGCTGACCAGCAAACACCCTGTAGTTGTTACAGACAATGCTGCAAATATGGTTTGTGCAGTGAAGATAATGCAGCTCATGCATGTCTGCTGTGTCCCCACTGTGTCACACCTGCTTGCTTGTGTAAGGCTTCACTTTTTCACTTTTCACAACAAGTTTGCGCTTTTGAGACAGTTTTGTTCACATCTCAGGTTTAAACTGTCTGATTTACAAGTTTGCACTTTGTGATTAAGATGACAGGAAAAAAGAAAATACATGAGTATTTTGAAACACAGTTGAACCACTTTCATTATTGTAAAAACAGATAGAAAGGATATTAATTGATTTAGAACTGTATGTATTCAGGACTTAAGCGAAAATACCCTAACCTGACTCCGCCAGATGTATTTGCTCCGCATATCCATCTGGAAACCTTCCGTTCAAGTAATTTTGGAAAGGGGTGAAAATACTGGTGATAGACGGGCCAAATAAACCAATCAGATCAATGAAGCATATGACGTACTAACAGAGCGACGATGAAGAGGAGCCAATTGATAGATCAAACTCTTGACGAAACCAGTCGGGAGAAGAGCAAAAGCATCTTTTCCTCTGAGAAAAGCCTCCAGAGCAGTGTTTTGCTCTTCTTTCAGTGAGGAAATACTCTGTAATTCCGATAAAACTTGCTCGATAGCCACGCTAACGCTAGTTTCATCGGCTGAAGCCGCCATGTTCTTTAGACTGAACTGTTGCGCTTCTCGTTGCGTCACACCTCAACCCGCCTCAAAGCCAACGCTGATTGGACATTCGTTTGGTGAACTGCTCCACATTTTCTTTAACGGAGAGTCTCCAGACTGATCTGCGAGTGAAACCTCGAAAGCTCATGAGATCAGGATGGTCTCATGAGGCTAAAAATACCCAGCCCTGGTTAAAAGGGAGTTTTTCCTCTCCACTGTCGCTACAAGTATGCTTAGTGTGAGGGTTTGCCTTCAATCAACTGGTTTTCCTTATATATAAAACTTTGAATCAATTTGACTGGATGATCTGGTTGAACTGTAAAGTGCATTGAGATGACATGTTGAGAAGACATTGCTGCTATATAAATAAACTGAACTGAATCTAGCTTTGTTAAGTTTTTTGTGAAACTGAGGTAGGGTTTGTATGACTTTAAAAGTTAATCCTTAACACGGAGTCCTGAGTGACACGTGTGAAGGCTCCAGTCTGTAAGCACAAAGAGGCAGTGTGTGACCGTGGGTACCGCGACGTCAGTGTCTCCGTGTCTGAGCGGAGCTGAGCAGCAGCAGCAGCAGCAGCAGCAGCAGCGTCACTGCCTCACACGGCATCAGAGGCACCGCGGACGGTTAGACGAAGAGGACACGTCGTCTGGACAGCTGCCTTAAGGTTAAGCCGCTCTCTTTACTTAGAAAATGCTTTTTATTTCATTAATTTCAGGTTCACTCTCCGTTGTTCCTTTCGTGCGCTAAGCGGCGCAGAGCGGCATTGGTACCAAACGTGGCGAGACCGCAATGACTAGCAGCGCTCCCCGCACTGTGGCCGTGTGTTGTGCTGTAGCCATAAACTGCGTTGCTATGGTATTGAAAGGCAACAACCCACCTGCTGCTGGGGAGCCTGTTTCTCCCCCCGGAAAGAGTGTAAAAATGTACCGGAATAAAGAACCCTTCCTCTAATTAGGGTGCTGTAAAGGAAACGCGCGTGCGTGTTTCGTTTTCTGCCAATTAAATACTTCTGACTTTTGGACTGTATTGTTTAGAAAAAGTTGTTTGAATGTTCTTAAAGTAGCTTGCACCAGGGGCGGAGCTAGATTGGGGGCCAGGGTTGGCCGTGGCAACCCTTAGCCAATCTGTGGCCACCCCTACCATTTTTCCCCTTTAATACAGATGATGGCAACAATAATATTCTCAAATGGAATATTCAAAACATTTAAATGTTTTGTGGTTAATTATACATATCAATATACTAACATCAAAGATGATAGGTACAAAATTCACGCTCTTTTCAGAACTAGATTTTTTCTTATATGGGGGAAAGAGAAAATTATGTGTCTCTGCAAGTCATTTAGGAGCCTTCAGTGAAATCATAGATAAATAACAATTTTAATAAACGCTTTTCAAATAATCAATTTATGTAGATATTAGTACTTGTAAATATAAATTTTATGCAGAATGTTTATTGACACAAGTAGGTAAGTAATGAGTTTTAGCCACTATACCTTTTATCTAGAAATTATAGATCTTTAAATATATGTGTCTATTTGTTAGCAAAGGCTGTAGGAAATTATAGTTTGTCTTTATTTAAAAAATATGGATTTTTTGCTTGTTAATTTTCCTGTTGGAACAATGTAGATTGACCCTGAGGTTTTGTTTGGTGCCTATCCGCTTTCGGCCACCCCTCAGTGTACATTGGTTATTGCCTGACCACCCTTATACAAAGTTTCTGGCTACGCCTCTGGTTTGCATGTCTGAAATCTTTCATCTAACACAGTTTTGTAGTAGAAATACGATTTTTAACATGTTTTGGCATCTTAAAAGTGTGCTGTGCATTTGATTGCTGCCCCATTTATGCTGATATCTTCCAATAAAATCTTGTGCAAACATTTGGGGTATCTGCTGTCACATTAGATCAGGAATGGCTGGGGTCATTGGCATGGACAGACTTCTTGAAGGGCAGGGGTGGAAAGAAAAGAAAAAGGGGGCACATATTGTGCAACCTCGCCACGGTAGAGGGGATTTTAGCACATTTTGGTTCTAAAGTCGTAGGGAAGTCATATTTAAATGTCAACTCATTCTGGCTTAAACATTTATATAAACGTACTTTATCAGATGATACTGTCCCAAAATTAAAAAAAATCCTGTCTTAAGATCTGTGTTTTTTTCCGTTATCTTATGCAGGCCAGACTGCTGTGTCCCAATGTAATTTCCCATTGGGAACCTACTAGCACTGAGTTTAGCAAGATGCTTCCGACAAACTGACCACAACCAAACTAGCTTGCGAACCTTCTGCCACAACAATCCTGCCCCCTTGATAATCGACCAATCATATTCACTTTGTTCACTCGTGTAAAGTTGGGCACCACTCGGGAGAATTCGGAAATGCAAAGGGTTGGAACGGCCACTTCCCTACAACTTTAAGCACACATTTGATTGCTTTCAAGAGGAAACTTTAGCACCCATTTAAACTCCCAACGTGGCACTTGATGGTAGTTTAGCACACAATTTATTGCTCTCAAGGGGGCACTTGCCTTTTGGCTCCAAAGTGGGAGTACTTGAGTCTGCCTTTCATCTTATATCTTGTCTGAAGGAATGTCGATATTTTTAACATCTCAACATATTGCCCTTTGTTGATCTATTTCTGTGTGATAGACTGTTTCATCTTTAACAGAGTTTCCTCAATATTTCCATTGTAATTAGTTACATTATATTTTTTTTAAAACACTTCCTGATTCTGCCACCATTATTTCGTCATGGGGCTTTTGTATTAATGTTAATAAGCAGCATTATCACTGGATTTTTTATGTAAACCAACCATGAACATGTTCGGCTTATTTGCAATGATTTGTAATTTTCTTTCCATCTAACAATTTTGTAGTTGTCTGATTTTTGTTATCTATTGACGTTTGCGATTTTTAAAATCATAAAACCCACGGAGGAGTATGAATCTTTTTGTTAGCTGTAAAGAGATGTCTACAGTCTACAGGAGATTTACATACGTAGAAAGAAAGCTGTATCCAAAGGCAACTTGTAGCTGAGAACAGACCGCGTTTTTTACGGAAACACAGCCCTCATGCTTGTCATACCAATTGTAACGGCTCTCTGTTTATCCTCATAAGGTCTAAGCGAAACCACAGATTTAAAGGCTCAAGCAAACCAAAGATGGAGATTACCAGCGGAGCATCCCTCAGAAGGACTTCACCGGCTGTGGACACAAAAAGTAGATGTTTGCATTGAAGGGGCCCGGTGCGTAGCCGTTTTTTTTTTTTTTTTCTTTCTTTTTTTGCTTGTTGTTGTGTATTCTGTGCCTCAGACTGAAGCTGTCGTTAGACATCATTTCATGATAACACCAGGTCCCACGATACAAAGAAATTCCATTATCTCTATCTCCTGGCTGCTGTGACGGGGAAGGAAATCACCATCCTATTCTGTCGTGGGGCCAGGAAGGAGGGAGATTTATGAGATTTATGAGTCACAACGGAGGAGAGAAGCAGAAAAAAAAAAAAAAAAAGCTGTCACTCTTCAAATCTGCCTGTAAACTTTGTAGAAAGCTTCTATGCTTATTTTAAGAGCAGCACCAGATGCCATATTGGCTGTAAAACTATAGATAGAGAGGAAGATCTGGCATTTTTGTGAGCTCTTTAAATTTTTTCTGAAATATTTTAAACCTTTTAATCGAACTGTGTTATGTGTGTATTAATTTCGAAGAGGTAAAGTGGTGAGAAAGTGCAAAGGAGTAGTTTACACACCTCTTTATCTGGGCTGTCAGGAGGGAGGTTTGTTTTCTACAGTAACTTACCCGGAGCAATAGAGATAGCGGTGGTAAAGGAGGGGTGGGTGGAGTGAGAAGAACAGTGAACGACTGTGAGGGAGTGAGCGTGCTTCACCCAGTCTTTGAGTGACTCTTGTATCCAAGGACGGAGGTAGCAACGCATCCGACCGCCACTCTTCGCCCACGGACTGCTGTGAAGAAATGAGGCGGACGAGCGGGGACTCGATGGTGCTCTTATAGACTCAGCAACCTGCCTTGCCCTGATTCACAGAGCCCCCCCCCCCCCCCCCCCACCCTGGGGTTTGATGCATCTCAGGGATGATGACTGAGCAGATCATGACAGCAGCTAGAGTGAAAGATAAAATCATGTAGCTTGAATGGGAGTTTTTTTTTTTCTTGAATATTTTTTTTCTTCTGGTCAAGCACAACGTGTGTTTTCTCATTTTTCCCTATCGGTGTCAATCCACCTAAAGCGGCCCACGTCTGTTGTATGTTGTTGGCAGACGAGTGCGCAGGAGAGGAGGTAGTAACAGGTGCCGCGTGCCAAGGTGAATTTGGAGGTGTGGAAGAGAGCTGAAGATCATGGGCAAATCAAACAGCAAGCTCAAGCCAGAAGTGGTGGAAGAGTTGACAAGAAAAACCTACTGTGAGTACCTCAAGCTCCTTTTTTAACTTCAAAAAGCTTGAAGGAAGTTCTGTGAACTCTGTAGAGATTAAAAGGAATGACTGAAAATGCTTGATTTAAAAGAAATACTATTGATCTCAATGCTGCAATTTTTAAATGATATTTTTCACCCACTCTGCACCAACCAGGCTGTACGACACTTGGTCTTTGTTATTGACAAACCAGAGCTGCATCTAAATGCCAGCTCCCTGTTTGATTTACATTTAAGTGTCGTTGTTATTTTTTTAAAGGTAGAGGGGAAAGTTAATTTATGCTGCTTTGATTCACAGTGGGGAGATTTGAAATATATTAGGTTCACTTGTCATGGTTTTATACACAGATTTAGAAATTTTGGGGGTTTATTTTTAATTGCAGATTTTGTAAAAGTCTCTTCAGGCTGTGCTGAATTTTAGCTATTTTTTTTTTTAGACCTGTTAATATCAACAAAATGCTTTATCATAATTTTGGAATAATTGGAATGGTTTTTCAGAAATCTACAAAAGTTACAGAGCTGTGAGTCCCTGCACGACTTGAAATCTAGTAAAGGCAATGAAACTGTAAAAAATAATATACTGATAAAGACAGAAAGGTCTTTATCTCTTCTCCTTTTTTTACAAGGAGAAGAGATTACAAACACTAATGGCAGTTTGATTTGCATTATTCTTAATGCACCGATTACAGGTTTCTGGCCGATCATCGATTCCAGATTTTTAAAAAGCCTGACATGCCGATTCTGATTTTGACTGATGCAGATTTCTTTTTATAACTGAGACTGTTGGTTTTTATAAGATCACAAGAAACATCATAATTCAATATTATCTTAGTGAAAAACATCAATCATTGCCTGTGAAACAATAAAAACTTCTGCAATAACTGCTATCTAATATATAAATTCAAGTTTAAAGCATGGGGGGAATGTCTGCTTAGTGGTTAGAGCAGCGCGCTTTTGCTCTGAAAAGGTTGCAAGTAGCTGGTTTGATCCTTACAGCCTCCAATCTGGGTTCCTGAGCAAAACTCCTAACCCCACACTGCTCCCCAGGCGTCACACAATGGAAGCCCATCGCTGCCCAAAGGAATGGGTTAAAGGAAAAGGTGAATTTCTCCAGTGGTTGATCAATAAAGTTACATTTTTATTTATTTATTATTATTTTTTTTTATCATTATCTACAACAATAAAGAGGGCTTAGATCAGTTTCGCATGTGGGTATTAGCTAATCATCGATCTCCTAAAATTAAGAAAATTGACATGATTGATCGTCTGGCAGATAAATCGGGTCACATCTATTTAAAAATGATTTTAAAGGAGTTCAGGCTGAGTTAAGGTTGCAATTGGGATGTTGCACAGGTGAGCCTGACAAGTGAACAAGTGCTGAAAGCATTTATAGTTAATGAGCTGGTACAATATTCTCTCCCCCAAAAAAGTGGGCTTTACAGAATTTAACCAGTCGAAATGTAGTTACATAGAAGAAATGCTTCCCACACACCAAAAACACCTGGCTTTCGTATCTAAAACATAATTTATTATCATCTTGGTTTTGTGTTTTGCCAAATCTTCGACTCAGAGCAAAACCATGAGGAGGAAACCACCGTTTGACTTATTTTTAAAGTATAGAATACTGTAAATCATTGTATTCTTATTAATGTGTACAATCTAACTTGGTAACTCCAATTTATATTTCTCTTTTTATTTTCTTTCTCAGTGGTTTAAAGTTTTTGTTACTCTCTTCCATCTGTTTTAAAGTAATTATTTATATGTCTAAAAAGTCTGCATCTGCCTCATTCTGAATTGGTCCACGCTGAATTACAAAGATTCAGAGGGGCACAGCCACTTGCCCCCATAGCATGCTTGTTATAGCACAATTCGTGGACCCTACATGTTGTTGCTTCACTGTTTATACTTAATGCATCGAGTATAAACTAGCCTTTATATTTAGAAATCATTAATGTGATTCATGCATTAAGATATTGCTAGTTGAGAGAATATTGTTGTGTTAACAGATTTCTAAAGTCATTTTTGATTCAACCATTTCAATTTCCCATTAGGAACCTACTAGCACTAAGTTGCTAACAGGTTAGCTAGATGCTTCCGACAAACCGGCCACAACCAAACTTGCTTGCAAACCTTCCGCCACAACAATCCCGCCCCCTTGATAAACGACCAATCACATTCACTTTATTCACTCGTGTAAAGTCGGGCACCACTCGGGAGAATTCGAAACTGAAACCATTGGAACAGCCGCTTCCCTACGACTTTAATTGAAATTTCCAAAATTCTTTTACTTTTTTTCTAATCAAGCAAGGCTGTATAATGGACGATAAAATGCATTAACCCACATTTTCCTGTATTTTTCTTATTTTCCATTAATAACTTTTCCAAACTGTGCTGTGAGTTTCAGCAACTCTGTCTCATAAAATTAACAAGTGTGCCAATCTTTGCGACATGTTGGTTGACCCTTGCTGTGTAGGTGCACTATATGTATCTGGTGAGGCTTAGTTTGATTAAATTATTCGGCTTAATCTCTTATGTTCTTCTTGTACATGTTTATGAGATGAAGATCAAGGCCTCTTAATAAAGACATAAGAGCAGACTGTATTGAAAGTTTCTCTCACATTGTGGCTGAGGGGAAGTAGGGGCGTTTTGTGCAGGTGCAATAATTCAAAAATAACTTTGGGTTTTCTTACCTACCTTTCTGCAAAAATCCTTTATAGTACCATCATCATTTAAGGTTCCTCAATTTTAATTCAAATGTTTTAGTGGCATACAGAGTTTAAATGCATTGAGGTTTAAATAAGACTTAAAATGTATTATGTTTTTAGTATTGAAATTATTGTCAACTAATTTAGTAATTGAATAATAATAAAACGGACTATATAGACTATAAAGTATGCCATTTGCAGGAAGAACTGTCATGATTTTATCTAAGGCTGGGACCCACATGCAGTGAAGCCAAACAGAGAGACACAGTATAAAAATTAAACGGGTTTTATTGAAATGTTTCTTGAGTTTGGTGCAGAGTTCGTCCGAACTCTGCTCAGCCGGAAACTGGAAGGCAAGGGGAAGACAGACTGTTAGATTCATGCTCAGTGGGAAATTGGAGTTGTTAATCTTGAAGGAGAGGATTTGTTGCCACTCACGTTTCCACAGAAGTGGAGACTCTTTGACTCCAGTCTGTATGTTGGCTTCCAGAGTTTGTCTGACTCGGTGGAGGGCGGAACAGGGTTTACCCAGGAGTGGATTGATGCAGCCGCTGGTTGCAACTCAGTTTTCCTGTGGTACTTGAACGGGTCGTGGTGAAGATGATTTCCTTACTCAGAGAGTGATCTCATCGTCTTCAAAGTTGGGTGGATCCAAACCTCCTGTTTGGAATCCGTCGCTCAGTGTAAGACTCAGTTGATCCCACTTGGGAGAGGCGGTCCGGAAAGGTCCAGTTTGCAGGAAGTCTTCCTGCCGAAAGGCAAAAACAAAACAGAGTAGAATCTCAGGGAGACAAGTACTAAGTCAAACTCAATATGATCTCAGCTTAGCTAGAGTACAAAAACTCGAAATGCAAAAACTCAGATTAGGCTCAGAATAAACAAGGCTTGGCTAGAGTAGCCCAAACTGGCAAACACTCTGGCGTCGAGATAGTGGCAGCCAGCAGCTAAAGAGCAGTCCGGTGATGAGGTAACCGTTCGCAGGTGTGTGAGGAGGCGGACCGGAGCCAGGCGCCTCCTGGTGGTGGAAGGGAGAAATACAAAAGACAATACAAACAGACGAACACAAAAACTGGAGTCCTGACAAGTACACCCTACAAACAGCAGTTTAAAGGAAGACTGTTATTGGATTTAAGCATGATGAAGGTAAAACGGCCAATTAAACAGTTCTAGATAGAGCATGCCAACAGATAAATATGATTTTTTAAAATGCATAAAATATACTGTATGCATCTTTTACATTTAATCTAAAAAAATAAAAAAAATAAGAAACAGATGAAATAATTAGGAAAATAACTGTTAGTTTTGGTGCTGAAAAAAGGAACAAATGGAGATGTTATATATTAAGATTATATTAAATCATTTTAATAAAATACCATGTTATGAGCATTAAAATTAGTTTGTTTATATTTTTTGCATATGTTCAGTGTGTTTATTACTAAATTAATTGAGAGCTACAATCTTTCATTAAAATATTGCCATTATTAGATCACAAAAATGACTCTTTAGAAACCCTTTCTGTGATGCATAGCCCTGAATATTGTTTGAAATCCCCAATTCTGAAAATAGTTTAGTGGGTCATCCTCATTTATTAAGAACTTACTGTTTATGTTTGATCAATATTTGTGTTCAGATATGGTGCAATGACTAAAAACCTTACTAATGTCATTTCTGGTGGGAAGATCATCTATTAATGCTGGTCAAGCAGAGCATTAGTAAATCATATCATCCAATTTCTCTGTTGATCTCTTATTCTACATAGTCTTCATGTATCTTGTGTTTAATCATTGTATTTCCATTGATATTACTAAAATAATACCATTTCAAGTGATTTTTATTTTGTACCAGGCCAAATTTCATTCTCATATTAAAAGTCTGACTTCAGTAGTGAGCTCACATAAAAAGAGAAGACTAAAAATAGATCTCGCTTCTGACAACCTGCCAGCTTGTTGATATCTATTTTCTTCATTTATTCTCTAATGGTTTTTAAATCAAACCTGAGCAGAAATGGCTTCTAAGACTATATTTGGATCACATGTGGGCTATTTCTGGACCCCAGGATTATTATTGTTTGAGCAGTACGGCGTGCAGGTGTGGGTGGGAGTTGACTTCCATTGGCTGCTTAATGACAGTGTTATTTGTGTGGACGGTGTCTCCGCAGCAGAAACATGGGGGGCTGTTGTCGCAGGAAATTGCTGTGCAGAAAGATGAGGCATCGTGCTGGGCTGGACTGCTTGCTGCCATCCTGTGCTCGTCGTTTCTCGCTTTCTTTCTTACCCTTTCACCCT